TTTTTTTTTGAGAGAGAGATGAACGCTACACTATAACCTAGATATGAGGAGAGAATGATTGATTTCTTTCTTTTTTCACGGTTGAGTGTAGAAGGTGTTACATCGTCACGTTCCCTAAAAATCATGCAAGAGTTCAATTGTGTGTAGTGTTGGTTGTTTTAAAATATGAATATGATATTGGCCTTAATTAACTACGAAATAATTATTCCTAAGTAATAGTTAATTAAGCCACAAATAACCACCTCACATATTAAATTTATTTTAATTATTAAAAAAACGTAATTTTGATGTTAAGTTGGCGGGATAGTAATTGTGATGTTATTTACCTAAGCAATTGTAAAGGGATAAATTTCTCATTTTTGTTTTCTTTATCTATCAAAACATACATTTTCTAACTTATTTCTTTAAAAGAAAAAAACAAAAACAGAAAACAAAACAAAACCAAGCCCCAAAAAAAAAAAATCTCTAAAATCTAGCATTTTCGAAGCCGTGCAAATCGCTGACTCTGTTCAACGCCTTGTTCATCTGAGCCACTCTGGCGAGCTTCTCAGCCGCCCTCCAAGCCGAAGTCGGTGTCAGCGGCACCCCGTTCTCATCCACCAACACCGCCCGCCGCTGCACCTCCGACATCCCCGTCTCCAGATTCCTCACGCACTCCACGGCCGACTCCGACCTCGACTGCAGCACCAGTGCCCTGGCCGACGACAGCAGCTGCATGGCGCTCGACAGCTCCTGGAGCTCGATCAGCCGCCGTGACTCCGCCAGTGCCCGCCGGCTTATGAACACGTTCCTCAGCCGCTCGATTCCCGGCGACCCGGACCTGAAGGTCTGCGGACGCGGCAGCAGGAGCGCTCGATCCCGGCCGTAGATCAGCTCTCCGGTTCCCGGGTCCTTGTAGGAGCATCTGGTTGAGAGAACTATGTGCGACCCGACCCGCGTTTCCGGGACCCCAATCTCCACCAGAAGCTCCTTTTCCTCCTCGGCGTACAGATCCCCAACCCGGATGCAACTCGACCCGAGTAAAATCGGCCTCTCGCCGCAGGAATAGACGCCCGTGATTTCAGCCGGATCCGATCCGGCCGCAAACCCGATCTGAATCCGCAAGTCCTGCACCACCACGCTTAGTAATCCAGACACGCACTTGGAGAAGGCGTCCTCGGCGCCCGAGCCCGACGAGTGAACCGGTATCTCAACGTGGGCGAAACGGGTCGACCCGGAGGAACCCTGACCCCGCCGCTGGTTGCCTCCGCTGTTGGCGGGGACGGCATCATCCTGGCCGTCAGACAACAATATTATGCTGGCCACGGGATTTCGCTCCCGCCTTTCCTCTAGAACCCTCGCCGCCAGCTTCAGTGCCTCCGACACGCTGCATCCATGGCTGCAGCCGAGGCGGTCGACGGCCCTCCGGGCCGCGCTCTGGCCCTGAGGCGTCATCCTCCTTAGCGGCAGGAGGCGCCGGGGAGCCGCCGCGAAGGCTATCACTGAGAGGCGGTCGGCCGGGCCGAGGGAGGAGACAACCAGCCGGACCGCTCGCTTCAGCATCTCCAGCTTGGGGCCGACCATGGTGCCGCCCACATCGAGGACCGCGACCAGGTCGATCGGCGCCCGCCTCGCCGTGTCGGAGACAGTCAGAGGCGGTGCCCTGACCTTGAGGACGGCGGCGCACGTGCCGTGCCCCCTCCCCTGGGAGACAACCGCCACCTCTGGCGACAGTGTCACCTCCACTCCCCTCGATTTCCTGCAGAAATCGTCGCTACTGGAAACCGGATTCGCGAAGAATCCCCTGAACTTGTCCTCACTATCTTCTTCTTCCATTATAAGTAGGAAATTGGCACCGGAGGCTTTCGGCGTCACTAGCGGCTCATCGTCGGCGTAGTGTTTGGCGGATTTAGGGGTGGTGACAGGGGATTGTTTGGGTGGATCTTTTTCTTCTTCTTCTTCAGGAGGTTTTTGGGCGGCGTGGGCGGCGAGTAGGGGCACGTCCTTCCAGGCGGCGGTGCAAACGGGGCAGATCAAGCGGCGGTGTTGGCGCACGTGCGAGGCGATGCAAGGGAAGTGGAAAGCGTGGGAGCACTCGGCCGTGAAAATCGCCGTCCCTTGCCCTGTCTTCACGCTCTGCCTACAAACTCCGCAGTTGTTCTGCAACCCAACCCAACCCAAATGATGATATTAAAAGGAGAAAAATGAACTTGTAGTGTAACTGTGTAAGCATTTTCTTACTCGAGACAAACGGAGTGTGTTCCTGAGGATAGAGAAAGGAGATCTAGGAGATGACTGGTTCGAACCCAATCGGACCTTAGGGCTTAGGCCGACCACTTCAATATTGTTTTCAGGGCTGTTTTTGCCGGTTTTGCAGCGCAGACGAGGTGTGGAGGGGTTGCTTCCGGCGAGGATATAATTGGCGTTCTCCGACGACGGAGAGGCGCCACCGACGTTTTCTCGGCGGTCTCTGTGAATCGTCGTGCAGAAGGCTCTTCTCCATCCTGTGCCCATTTTCCAAAAGATAGAAAATAGAAACGGAAAAATGGTGCGTGTGAAAATAAGAATGGTGCGTCAGGGACTGGAGGACGAGGATACAAGATGTTTAAGTGTATTTATTATACAACAACATATAATAATAATAATAATAATAATAATAATAATAATAATAATAATAATAATAATAATAATAATAATAATAATAATGATAATGATAATGATAATGACGCTGGAAGATATTAGGGTCTCGTTACGTAATTATTTCGTTGGAGTTTGTAACTGTTAGATCAACTATCTCTGAAGGTTACATTATGATATAACGGTTACAAACCCCTGACCTAATAATTTTATAACGGACTCGTAACATTTTCTTATATAATGTTAGTTTTTATTTTACTGTTGAAGCTAACGCAGGGGAGGTGCAATTATTTATTTAAACTAAATACTAAGGGGTTTATTGCACCAAACCCCTCTGTATTATACGAAATCTGCGCGTTTTCCCTTTGTATTTTAAAAATTGCGTCATACTCCCTTGTATTTTAAGGTTTGCATGCACACTCTCCCCTTTTACTGTTTACCTGTTAACGGCGTTAATATTTTTGTAAAATTCCCGTTATGCCTTCTGAATCTATATCTATATAATGGACCAATCCTTATTGCTATAATTAACATAATTTTCGGCGGGAAATTTTTTCGTCTATATTTGAAATTTAATTAAAATTTATTTATTAACAAATCTTATGCATGAAAAACATGTTATTTTTTATACACTCAATGACTACTACTCAGTAACTACAAATTGTATTAAATTTAAATTTTGACCGTAGTTTTATTAGATTTATTTTCAATGAGATATTATATTAATTTAATAGTAATTTATTGACACAATTCAAAAAATTATTATGGAAATTGTTTTGATTAAATATATTATCATCTATGGTTGTAGAAACTAATTTAGTTAATTATATTTACTATTCAGAAGCACTTAAAATATATAATAAAATAATCAAAATAACTATGTTTAAATCACACTAACTTAATAAATAATTTAAAATATTAATAAAGGTTTATAAAACATAGTCAATTTAGTTATAAAAAGGTACATCCCTATTGAATACATTATATGCAGTGATAATACTATTAATAATTTAAATAATATACTAATACAGATAAAATTGTGGGGTGCAACTTAGAATTCTAAATTTCACATTTGAAATATCTATGCACAGTAAAAAAAAAAGCTATTTAATTTTTTAAAAATATATAAGTCTTCTTTTATACTATTTTAAAAATATCTATATTTATATCTATATCGTTATCTATATCTATATAATGAACCAATCTTTATTATTATAATTGACATAGTTTTAGGCGGAAAAATATTTTCATTTATATTTAGCATATACTTAGCCTTTATCTATTAGCAAATTTTATACGTGAACATTAATTATTTTTTGTTTACTCATTGACTACTATTCATTAGTTATCAATTGAGTTAAATATAATATTGATTGATGACATATATTTTCAATAAGACCTAATATTAATTTCGTAGTAATTTTTAACACAATTAAAAACACTATTCAAATTTTGAAATTTTGATTTGATTAACTATATTATTATCTCATGGATGTAGATTTTAACTTTATTAAGTATAATAACCTATCAGAAGTACTTAAAATATCTAACAAATAATCAGAATAATTGTGTTTGAATCATATTAACTTAATGAATAACTTATAGTAATAACAAAATTTGCTAAAGTATAGTCAACATAACCATTAAAAAGTTTATGTTCATTGAATATATTATTTTATTAGATATACGATTGAAAATCAAATTTAATATATTAATAAAATTATTATTTGATGGTCGAGTGAAATTAAGAATTATAAACCTTGGAAATATATGCATACATAAAAAAAAAGATTAAGTTGTAAAAAGCATATTCTTATTATATACTATTTAATAAAGAAAAATGAGTAAATAGGATAATATATATAGTCAAATATCATAATTAAAAATTATAGCATTTGATAATAATTGAAATATATAATTTATCTAAACATTTAAATTAGATATTAATACACTCATTATATATGTTATATTAGTAAATATATAAATATATACGAAAAAATTTATAATAAAAATGAATAGTTTACTATGAAACAAATGTGTTGCATAAGCGATTAAAGTTACTACAATTTAAATTTAATTATCAAACAATTATTATTTCATGCATCGAAAATTAGAATAACGTAAAATAAATTTTACGGTTAAAACATTAGTTAGCTATTGAGCATATGCAAAATATGAGTTGTTCAAAAAGTTATAAAATTAAGACAATCAGTAATTTTACAAGTATTTGTAAGCCATTAATTGTATACAAACATCATATTTAATATCTAGATATCGATACTATTTTATAAAATTATAAATAGTAAGATTTATATATTAAATAGTCAAAACCTTTAAAATAAATTATAAAAGATATCCAAACAAAATTTATATTTATTACTGACTTCATATATTGAGTCTGGTACAATTATCATGTTGTATTAAATAAATTAATAATATTTTAATAATAAAATATTAATCTATAGTATACCCCGTGCATCGCACGGGTATCAACACTAGTATTATATATATATATATATTCTGATAAATTGAATTTATCACGATATATTCAGTATATCGCGAGAAATTGAATATATCACAAGAATTTGAATATATCATGATAAATTGAATAAAAAAAATATTGTTGTCTCTAGGATACGAACTTAGGACCTCCTTGAGGGAGGAGAATGCATACAACCATTGTACCAACATGCTTATGTGTTAGATGTGTTAACGTTTAATATATATTAACATTTCATATGAATAAATAAAATTAAAATTGAAAGATAGTGTAAATTATATTAAATTAAATTATTAAAACATAAAAAACTTAAGATAAATTAGAATACAAAAATATTAAATTATATAAAATAAAACAAAAAAAATTATTTTAAACAACTTATTATATTAAACAAAAGAAAATAATTAAAATAAAATATAAATAAATCTAAAAAATTACCGTTAAAATAATAATATATATATATAACATATATATATATATAATTTATTTATAACGTATTTACATAATATATATTATATATTATATTATATATATATAATTTATATAATAACCGATATATATATAATTTATATAATAACCGTTATATAACTTAAGTTATATATTTTATATGTATAATATATATAATTTAATATATAATATATATTTTATATTTTATATATTTAATATATAATATATATTATATATTTTATATAAAATATATATTATATATTATATATTATATATTAAATTATAATATATTATATATATAATATATGTATATATTTTTTATTTTTTATTATATAATATATAATTTATAATATAATATATATAATAATATATAATAATAAATATAAATATATATTATTTATTATATATTATATATATAATATATTATAAATATAAAAATTTATATAATATATATATAATTTATATAATAATTTTTATAATATATAATTTATATAATATTATATTATATAATATCATAACGTTATATATTATATATATAATATATATAATGGTTATAATATATTATAAATATAATAATTTATATAATAATCTTTATAATATATAATTTATATAATATTATATAATATTATATTATATAATAATATATATAACGGTTATTATATAAATTATATAATATTATATAATTTATAATATTATATAATATAAAATAATATATTATAAAATATTATATAATATATTATAACGTTATATATTATATATTTTATTATATTATAATATAATAGTATATTATTATAATATATATAATATTATATTATATAATATTATAATATTATGTATATAATATTTTATATGTATATTATATATAATATATATATAACGATTATTAAATAATGATTATATAATATATAATATATATATATATACTATATATAATTAACGATTATATTATATATATAATATATAATATATATATATATAATATAATATATAATATTTTATTTTTATTTTATTTTTTATTTGATTAATTAACGATTATTTTATGTTTATTTTATTTAACGATTATATTATATATATAATATAATATATATAATATATATAATGTAATATATATTATTTTATGTTTATTTTAATTAACGATTAATTATATATAATATAATTAACGACTATTTTATGTTTATTTTATTTTTTATTTGATTAAGTTTTCGGTCATTCATGTTGTTTAAATGAATCTGTGTTAAATATATCATAAAATGATGGTGGCCAAGTGGTTTGAAGCCTTACCTATGAATGTTTTGGCCCAGGTTCGAATCTCAGGAGCTGCAAAACATTAATTTTTGCCCAATAATTGGTAGAAAAGGTAGGGGCAAAATAGTAATTTCAATTTTAAAATAAAAAAATAAATGAAAAAAATGAATAATTATCGCAGTACATGAAAGTGTGATCCACGCGCTGGTAAGTTGGACGGAGAGGGGGAATCGTGCAACAGTTAGTTAATACAAGAAGGTATGACGCAATTTTTAAAATACATGGGGAAAACGCGCAGATTTCGTATTATACAGGGGGATTTCGTGCAATAAACCCATAAACTAAGTATTGTTTTTTGGATGGAATGGCAGCTTAATAATTAGTGTATGACTATTTAAATTCTACAAGTAGGTTTCCAGCTTAACCAGTGGTCTCGTGTTCGAGCCATGAGAATGCAGCAGTGTTAAAACTCTTGAGGGAGAGCTTTGCCGCCCTTGTGGTCCTACCCGGCTCGATTCTGGATTAATCGGTTCTCCTGTGGATCCGAAAACCGGAAGGTTCCTGTACCAAAAAAAAAAATTCTACAAGTAGGTATATTTTGGAAGGTCTTTCGTGTTCGCCTCCAGCCTACTCTATAGTTTTCCCCACTTTTGAGTTTGAATTATGTTGTAGCTGGGCATTCTTA